CCTCTCTGTCTTAGAAAACACAGCAAGCAGGAAAGATTAGAGGCACGCCATTCATCAGGGATTTTTATTCATTCTTCAGTCTATAATATTTTCCATCTTTGTTCCTCACCTGTTTGGGTGAACAGGTTCTTGTCTTCCATCCAAATGCCCTGTAAAAGACATAATAAACATAAAGCCATCAGTATATTCCAAATGACAGGACTTGCACCATAACAGTGTTGAAAAGTAACCCTAAAGCATGTTTGCCACTGCAGAATATTTTTGAAGGATCGTAACATCAGGAATTTTTCAATCCCGTCCAGAATCACTCTTTATAGTTTTTTCAAAGCCTGATTTATCAACATGAGAGAGATACACCTTTCTCCTGAACAATCTTAAAGGCAAAGTGCCATGGTTTAACCCCAGCTGACAACTAAGCACCACCCAGCTGCTCACCCACTTCCCCGCCGCAGTGGGATGGGGGAGAGAATAAAAAAAACAAAACATAAAACTCGTGGGTTGAGATAAAGACAGTTTAATAGGACAGAAAAGGAAGGGGAAACAACAATAACAACAATAATAATAACAACAATATACAAAACAAGCTATGCACAATGCAGTTGCTCACCACCCACTGACCAACGCCCAGCCAATACCCAAGCTGGGGTGTCCCCTGGCCAACTTCCCCAGTTTATATACTGGGCATGATGTCATATGGTATGGAATACCTCTTTGGCTCATTTGGGTCAGCTGTCCTGGCTGTGTCCCCTCCCAGTTTCTTGTGCACTCTCAGCCTTTGCTGGCAGAGCAGTATGAGAAGCTGAAAAGTCCTTAACTTAGTATAAACACTGCTAAGCAACAACTAAAACATCAGTGTAGATTTATGACTCGGGTAATTTGTTAAAACCACCTCACACCACCGTGACTGCAGCACAAATCACGGACTAACCAACACTGGCACAGTTAGCTGATAAGTAGCAGCAGCTCAGGCTTGGCCCACTTCCACACAGGAAGAGGATGAAAAGAGGCCAAGGTACTCCAGCACCTAACCCCTGATGATTCCAACACCAGAAATGGGTTCTAAAGTATTTGTCAAAGACCAAACAAGAAGTTTACCACAGAACTGAGAAAAAAAATCCATGTTCTCCTAAGTTCCTAAGTCTAGGCCCATAAGGCCACCTTTCTTCTTTTATCTGCAGTGTACCTCTTAAAGAGAACTGACTGGCTCTTTTGCCATGTTTCCTTTAGTATTCGACTTCACACATTTGGTTTACTTTTCCTTCCTTCCTTTAGGACAGAATTACACAGCAATAATTCTGATTGCAAAATAACTATCGTTCCCATGTGTAATGGTCTGAGGTAGTAAAAAGACAAAGGTATTTCAGGTGTAACCACAGTGAATAACTGAAAGACTAAAATACAAACCTTCTAGGCAAACCACACCAAGGCAAACAGTATAATGAATGCCAATACATGTAGGAAAGTAATAATGCATTGAAAATGCACCCTGAGTAATTTTAGTTTACTCCAGCAATTCAAACCCACAAAGCCAGAAAAGCCCTGACTTTGTCTTCAGCATTGCCTCTGGAAGTCCCACAACATATTCTGTCTTACAGAGGAAGTCATACAACACGTTGGGGATTCACAAATAACATACACTACAGGTGCTATATTTAGCAGAGAAGGGTAAAATTTCACTATTGGTCTGTCCTACCGCAGAATGTTTCTAGAAGTAAAACACTGGGCACCTCAAACAATCCCCCTTCCTGCACCTTCTACTTTACTTCCAGACTAGTTCTTACCACTGTGTTGCTCCAAATTCACACTTAGAAACACCCAAATGGGCTTAAACAAATAAGTCAAGTCCTCTCCATTCAAGATACCTCCTCTTACTGGTGAAAACACATCCTCTAAACTCGTATATTTTCATATTAGGCAGAACCTCTGCTTCCACTAACAACACAGTATGCAAACCCACAAATACTCTGTTTCTATCATTTACACCTTCATGAAAGGGTATACATCATGACTGCTGGCAGTCACTCACACAGCAGACATCTGCATGGTCAGATGTAAGGCAAAGAAGACAAGAGTTCATTTTAGAGACTGATTTTTAGTACGCTAATCATTAGCGCTGAAAACCTCACATGTTCAGAATTGTCCCTGAGAGCACCATTTTCTTATTTCAAAGTTTAACAAAAAACGATTCAACTCTCTTGAACGAAGGCACAGTTTTCAAAAACAGCTTCCTGGAGAAAAATTAAAGTAACATTGCTACAATGTCCCTCCACATGCATCAGAAGGGTTAACTGTGAAGCTCAACATGCAATGCTCAGTAAGGAGCATACATATTTAGAAGGCAAAACCCAACAGAAATTAAGAGTTACAGATGCTTGAAGTCTGCATTCTGTGAAGAAGGGGAGAACCTCTGAATGGATGTCAGTGGGCATCAGTCCACATCAACTGCTTAAAGAAGCTTAAGAATTTACACTACTGTAATTTCTTAAAGCAGCTTAAAAGGTACTTTCAGCTCCTTCCTCTTTTAAAGGTAAGAGCGACCAGAGGTCTTATCACAAGTCTTGTGATATTGTTACATACACCTGGCTCCTCGAATCATATAAGACACAGAAGCCTTACTAAATAAAATTGCAGTCCCTAAAATCATGGTAAAAAGTCTAAAAACATGAGTGAAGTGCACCATGATAGTTCAAAACCAAATGGCAAATAAAAGAAACAGAGAACACCTTTAGTTTTTAAATGGGTATCTTTCCAGTCAACCTCATAACTCTGGCAGTCTGACATGACTTGAGATTTGACTTCAGCAACAACAGGAGAAGTCAAGATGCCAATTTAAAGTGGTTCCATTGCACGTATGTTACCTCCCTCCCCATGAAGTACATGAATTTAGCTCCATATCATGAGCAAATTAGTTTTATTGTAGTAAGTGTACTGCCAAGAAGATTACAGCGTTAATTGTGAAAGTTTAGGAGCATATTAATATTTTGTATATACCTTGTGATGAAATGTTAGAAGCTGCACAAACATGTGTCTCATGCTCTAGACACCACAAGCATTGGAAAACAATGCACTCTCTCTACACCAGGAAGTGATAATTTGCTGAATATTCTTACAAACTGTCTGCAAAGTTCTGCCATCAGAGGAACTTCTGATGTATTTTTACCCTGTCCTCGTTCCCTCTTGCCTTCAGATGAGCACTGCTCCCCAGGGCAATTACAGGAACACACCTACACCAGTTCCAGCATAGCATAAAAGCACACACAGAAAAAAAAGTGTTTCAAATGCCAGAGAGGGGGAAATTCTCAGTTTTAACGTCCCTAGTTAAGGCAAACAGTTCACCTCTTGTGATCACTGCCTTCGGATCACTGGACATTATTACGCTAGGCTTAACAGCTCTTCTTCCTCCTTGCCAAGGAGAGTGAGATGGCAGCCATGCCCGAAACGCATCACGCAAATTCTGTTTAGAGGTCCACAATGCATGGGTATCGACACATCCTCTTTGAGCACCACAACGCTGCCCAGCCTGCTGGGAAGACGCCTGGGGCATCTTCTTCTTTTCTTGTGGTGGCCCCTTCCGTTATACTCTCCTCTTCTTCACAACTGTATGGTCTCAGCATCCCACACGAGGCGCAGGGCCCAACCGCCCACCCGCTCCCCCTCCAGCTCCGTGTGGCGGCACACCGGCTTCTCAAGTCGGGGGGGTTGTAGCCTCGCTTTTGCTACCCGCGACGCTTCCGCCACTTTTTTCACTAGGCTCCCTCGAAGAAGCTTTTAAAACTCAACGACACGCACGGCGAGGCGCCGCCCTGTGCTCAGCTTCACCTCACGAGAAGCCCCGGCCGCCTGACGGCCCCCTCGCCTCGCCTCTGGAAGGCGCCAGAAAGCGCCGGCGGCAACGGCCGCCAACAGCGCCGGGAGGGGAGGGGCGGGGGGGGGGGGGCCCCCCGGCTCCGG